ACAGTGAACAAAAAGTGACAGTAGTTGTAACTAGCTATTTATAGGACTGCTTAGAAATGCCTACTATTCACATAACATTCTCATGCTAACTGAACTTCTCATTGTTAACACATTCGTAGCGAAAACTACGTGAAATGTTTACTGTATACAATATTAAGATAATAATCGGAACATTAACAGATTTACAAGTAAATTTTAAGTATTTTGTCATAGCTATGTTTACTGGTTAGTAACAACAACTGGTACACATACATAAAATCCTGGGAAAACCCAGCAAGGGCTAGGGTGGAACACCATTATGTCCTTACCCTTTCCCTGTCGTTTAATTGTGTAGTTTAATAATGGTTTGGTGCAAGTTTATCCTGTAAATCAGCATGGCATTCCAGTTTTGAAAGATATGGATTTTAGAACCACACTAAATGAATTTCGTTTGTTTGTTACATCGAAATCTCTATCTCGCTATTGTGTCTTTATCACTACGTGGTTTTCTAAAGTCTAACTTACGAACAACAGCAGTCTCTGTTACCTAATTAACAATAGGACCGAAAAAACAGGACTCGGAATCGTGGGTTGACATAAACGGAGTCACGTCTTCAAAGGCACGCTTCGGTGTGATAGACATCTTAAATCAAGTCGAGGATAGGTCGTGGCTTGTCCTCAAAGGCGATTGTCTCAGATTTGAGAAGGCACAGTTCAAGAGCCGGCTAGTTTAGCAATATCTGCACGTCAGACCACCCATGTACGAAAGATTATATTTTAGCATTTGACGGTACCCATGGCACACTGTGCCAACATGTCCTAGTATTGAAAAGATTATAATGGATTAATAATGTATTCGTTATTACGTAGGTACTTTTAATAAATGATGTATGTGTGAACAAAGTAAACGTATCGATGCCGTTTGTCCTTTGTGTAAATCCAGGTGTTATTAAGTGTAGTTAAATGCAATGAGTATTAAAACAAAACTAAGAATAAAGCAATATTTGAGTTGCAATAAGTATAAAGAACTTTTATAAGAAATTGTTGGACGATCCCTATCAGTAATATTAGTTTCGTTGATATGAACACAGGAAGCAATAGAAATAAAAGCTATGTAAAAGTTCACTTCATATCTATTAGCGGACCTTTCACCTCAACTGAATTATGACTGTTCAGATAAACCGTTGACTCTGAATCATTTTACTTGCACATCTAGGACGGGTAAGCGCCCCGGCGGTCTATTTACCCGAATTACCTCATCGTGTGCATCATTAACTTCACCAAACACTCGAAATAACGCAGAATTCACTTTGACATTAAACAAAGATCTCGTTGAATATAAAATTAATTGATAATTCTTACCTATTTCAACTTATCGCAAAAAATTTATGACAGAAGTCATGGGGAGCTCATCAATCAGAAACATGTTAGTTATTATAAAGATCCGGTAGAGTACAAAAACTGAGCACGTACGTTAAGCTACTTTTTTATCTAAAATACTTTAATAAATTTTTAACTTAATTGCAAAGAAGTAAGGTTGAAAATCTATTAAAGAATTTTGCAGTTCGAGGTACTTCGATATGGTGGCATCTGTAGCTGCACACATTCATTGATGTCGAGGACTTTTCTGATTACAGTGCAGCGTCAACATTGCGCCGTGCAGACGCTACGCTACTACCTAGCTATTGCATTGTAATGCAAATACATAGAATGCTATTTGTTTTTCATGTTCATCTTTAATTTGTATTTCTTCGCCAGTTGTTTGCATTTAGATTTCATAATATATATCCTCTCCAATTTCCTTTCTATTTGAACAATCACATTTTTAGATGCGTCAAAGATTTGTTTAAATCTTTGTCCCGTCTATACTTAGAATCTTTGAAGTGAACTGAATTTAGTCTTTAGTCACCTGTGTGAATGTAAATTCTATTCTGAAAATAATTATTTCTCAAAATACAGTACAGTGAACCTATCAGTCATCTCCTAGATTTAGCTCGCTAACGTTAGTAACAAAGTTTGAGTCCGTGATTGCTCTAATGATGACGAAGGTATTTTTAAAGCCAGCGGGGTCGTGATGTCATTGTCATAGCTCGATGTCATGTAACTATTACACACACTTTAAATTTAACTTCATTTAGCGTAGATGTTATATCTCATTACTTATCTAAGATTTCAGTTGTGTAAGATTTAGTTATTTTTCTACCATTTTTCCTTGTCACCAGTGTCTTGTTTCTACGTCACAGCTATTTTGTTCACCAAAATAGAGCAATGTGAATCACATAAACACAGCCCAATGGTGCAAATGAAAGAGTAGGGAACTGAACTTTATATGCTCGTTAGTGTAGGGTTATAAATCAAATAGCGTTCGTCGTCTGTCGACGCAGCGCAGTTTCGTCCATATCTTTCTACGTCACGCAATACCAATATAATAAAAAGCTTAAAAAACTGCGTGTTGCCTCCGATATATTGCTTAGTGAAAAAAGCGTTGAAAATAAATAGGAACGTGCTTTGCATTTTGAATAAAAAGCGATTTATAAGCAAGAGACAGAACGAGACGAGGCGTCGACAATTATTGTCTACGGTGCATAGTGTACCGACTCCTTTTGTGAAACCATTTATTATAATGAGGCGCCTGCATTATTTGCATGACACCTTTTGTTGCCTGATCGTTTGTATTGCAACCCGTTAAGTCCTAAACGACCTCTGTCAAGATTAACTACAGATACATATAAAATGTATATACGACGTGCTCAGCTCATCAAGAGCCCGATTTAGAGAGGAATGATGTGTGAACTGATTTATGATAACATCTTAATTTTATGAAAGATCGTTTGTTTTTTTCATTTATGAACTTATTGCCCGGTAGTTAATCATAAATATTTTATTAGTTATGTTTCAATATTTAGTTCAAAGCTTCTAGGATCACTTCTTTATTTATATTTCAGTTTGAGGCGTGAGTTGTCAAAGGAAGCTCGGCTTGCGACTGAGGAGTTCACAGAAATAGACATCCAATATCTTTGTCGTCGTTAATTCGATTTTGGAAGCACTCAGAGGTAACGTAAGGTAATTCTAACATCGAGATCCGAGTCCCATGTTAGATAGAGACCAATAAATTGCCGTATGGAAATAAAGGTAAATTAATTGGCTTAGTATTCACCAAGCAATGTACCAGGGTCCTATAGAATCGCTGATAGAACTCTGATGGACTTGAGATACATAGCGAGATGTACGCATGTGTATTATTATGTCGCTCAGGTATTGTCACACTTTCTTGTTATTGCAATCATTACAGCACAGTAGCGTAAGTGCATTTTATCAAGCCACTTCAACTGTGTTCTACAAACGGATATTGCTGTTTCATTTTTCATTTAAATAAAGTAATCTTTTAAGACAATAAATGTGTACTTACTACAACACATCAGTTCATACATTTACATTATCTAATCAAATCAATGCATCTTTAAGACATTCAAATATGTACCTTTTCATACGTTTGTAAAAAGGTCTCTTGTCTTATTTCCTTGCGAGACAATTTAGAGACCATTTTCCTTATATTACTTTTTTACAGGACAGTCATACTCGGCAGGGCTGCCGGTCATTGACTACACTACAGCCCCATATCAGGGGGTTTAAAGGGCGCATGACATCCGCCCATGCACCTCTCAGAACCCTTTTTTTTATTAATATTCATCGCGTAGAACCAAATACAAGTGTCCACTTGACGCTGTAACAGCTAGGGACGTCTGTCGCCTAGCTGAAGTGAAGGCCGTCTGTAGATGCGAATATTTTAGCTCAATAAAGACAAAACAGAATTACGCAACAGCGTGTAAATCGCACGTTATGTCGGAATACTAGAGGTACCGAATATACGGCAGTACGGCAACTATTTGGTAAACGGTTAGTGTTCAAAATTAGGCCGAATACTAAACCTGAATACCAAATCGTGAAATAGTTACAAATATAGGCATAGGTATCTTAAGCAAAAACTGTTGAATTGTGTGAAATAGATAATGTAATGTAACTACGCTTCAGCCTTGAGCACAGCCGAATATTCAGTATTCGGCCAAATCACTATCCGTAACGTAACATCTCTACCGAATACAGACAATCTTGGTCCAGTAAACCTATTGTTGTTCCAAACAAAGATAGCACATGCGTACAACACACGACATTACCTAATTCTTCAGTTTCACACCTCGCTTCGTTCTTTAGGTCAGGATATTTGCATAATTTATTTAACGTTTATTGCAACTGAACATATGTAGCGTCAAACCGTGCAATCGCAAGAGCCATTAGCAATAATTACGCGATTGAATAACACAATCAAGTAACTGTATAACAATGAGCTATTTGTTTTGAATTTGCTTATATATAAATAGGTGTATGTTTGTAAATACATCTTATAGGTACGACTTGCAGTTACAACAAACATTAGTTTCATTACATCTTGTTTCTTCAGTAGACGGCTAATTTTATATCAATACAGTCTATACCTACTACTGTGAATATTAGTTTAAAACATTTGCTTCGACTACAGCTTGACAGAGCAAAAACATATCGCATAATTATCTGTCTATCATTTTAGTTAGAACATTAATATAGTTAGTCCTTTAGGATATTTTTATTATAATGTCTGAAGTCTGTTAGTCACCCACGCAGGATCAAGGCGTGAGATAGACGTTGATTAGTTGCTTATCCTTATGATGATATCGTTTGTGTGTACACGTACACGGTCACACATCAATCTATACAAAAACAGTTTATCTTGGTATCGCGTCGCATCATCTTTCCGCACATTGAACGTTCAATTTATACTGGTTCTGTAAAGCTCGATGTGTAGCCGTGTGTACGTTGCGTTGTGCCTTCGTACAGTACAGAAAAGAATTTAAAGCCGAATAGTTGATTCAGTTTAGAACAACTGCTGCTAAATTGTCTTTATTAAGTCCTGGTTCCAGTGGTAACTTGATAGCTAGGTGTTACGTTTTATTGAGTTACTAGAATATAAAAAGATTTTGGCTTACCTGACAGCAACACGAACGCTGGACTCGTCAGCCATGGCTGAGCCGTGTACCTGAAGCAATAAAGATAGTTTTGTTATAAGTTTATAAGAGCTCGCAAGTTAATTAATAACTATTCATTCGGCTAATGAACACAGGCATATTTTATACCGTCATCGTTGTGTTTCTCTACGAAGAACAGCAAGTCTCGTATCCAGCGAAATCCCTCAACTTTCACCAGATTGCCGGCCCAGATGGGAGCGGCATGTATACTACCCACGCCACGTCTTCCGGTACCATCCAGTACCATTAAGAATCAAATTATTGTGTAGTCGTATTCGTGCCTCGTTAGTTGAATACTCGCATGGGTGACAGCCGAGCAGTTTTGGAGGAATTTTCAAAATGCTTAGTGAATGCACACATTTACCTAGCTAGTGAAAGTCCTTGTTACGATTATTATAGTGGACTCTGCCGATTGTTATCTATACCTCTACGGTACTAGAGAACTGTTAGTTATATCAATTGATTTATCAGGAACGAAATAATGCAAGATTGCTAATTGCTAATCATAGCATAAATCGAGCGGCATTCTTCGAAGGCTAGGCATAGGTATCATCATCAACAGCCTATAAATGTCCACTGCTGAGCTTAGCCTCTTCTCACACGGAGAAGGTTAAAGCATTATTCACTATGCTTGCTCAATCCGTGTTGGCGATTTCAAACTTATAATTAGAAATTATAATCCCAGGTTTCCTTACGATTGGGCTCGCTGTCATTGCAGCGGTAAGTCCCCTCTTTGAGGAGTGGCTTGAGAGACGCTACGGCGTCCTCACCTACCGCCTGACGCAGGTGCTTACCGGACACGGAAGTTTCGGTAGGTTCCTGTTTCGGATTGGGCGGGAGGAAACGCCCGGGTGTCATCACTGTGAGGATCGCCCGGAGGACACGGTGGAGCATACGGTGGCGGTGTGTCCTGCGTGGACTGAGCACCGCCGTGTCCTCAGGAATGTGATCGGCGACGGCGACCTCTCGCGTCCGGCTCTGGTTCAGACCATGGTACGGAGCGAGGGGGACTGGGATGCCGTCTCCTCCTTCTGCGAAGCAGTCATGCTAGCTAAGGAGGAGGCGGAGCGCGTGAGGGAACGAACCTCCTCACGACCCGGCCGTCGCGAGAGACACTCAGGGCGTCGGGGATCGCGAGACGATCTCCGGCCACCGTAAGCACGGGCCTGCGGACGGCGAGCATGGGTGACTCGCCGCCCGACCAGAACCAGGCCCGAGCGTACGGCGCGTCGCGTTCCGCGCGCGCCTCAAGGAGCCATCAGACCACCACAGATGGGGCCTAACAAGGCTGATGCCGATACGGACCCGCGGAAGACTTAACGGGTTGCCGGGGCTCCGGCTCGAAGTGCAGGAGTAGGAACGGGGTGGTTTTTAGTCAGTGAGAGTCTGACACTCCCTCCCGCCTCACCCAGGCGGGAGAAGTCATAGGATGATTTTCCCCCCTCAAAAAAAAAAAAAAAAAGGTTTCCTTACGATGTTTTCTGTCATTTTCCGTCACAGTTTGTCAGTGGTGTCTAAATAATCTTAGAAAGTACATATAACTCGGACAAAGTCACATTGTTACTTGTCTTAGGTAGGTTTCAAACCTGCACCCTCATGCATGAGAAGCGGGCGTCTTAAACCTTCGGGCCAAGACACTAGGCATAGGTATACCAAGCAGCATTTAGCATGCTGATATTCCATCCCCAAATCTGAGAAATGTTGCCTGATTCCTGCATCAGAACTAACAGTTTCCTGCTAAGGAGACTATTGCTAAGACACATACCTAGGCTAAAATTAAATATTTGAAGTAATCTTGTTTTTAACACCTAAACAAAATTTACGAACTCATAAATAAGATTAACTGTCAAATATTGATACAAATTAATTAAAATTAATTTAAATCAGACTTCTTAGAGGTATTATAATCCTGTCAACACAAGATCCGCATGCATTAATTTAAGTATTACAATAAACTTAGATTAGTTATAACTTATGTGAGTGCTTATACAATTTGCATAACAAAGTATTGAATGGAGGAATCAATTTGAGGTAACATTGATTTTTTACAAAACTCAGGGATTTAATAGACGATGCGGTAGTTACCTAATAATGGAATTGATTGATTTCAAACACACAATAGAAATACAAGAATGCATGTTCATTATTCATTACTTTATTAATAACTTTTTTGTTGTTTGTAAGAACTGCAAATAGATGGTGTATTGTGTTTTTTATTAAATTTTCTAAATGAAGACTGGTTGTTATAGCTAGAGCAATTGTCAATGACAAAGTTTCAAGTTTGATTGTTTAGATGGACTAAGAACTTAAGGCCTCATGCACAGTGAACTGTAAATTATATAATTTAAATAGTTATTTGCATTATAAATATACTAACTATATGATTACACAAAATTTAAACTAATATTAATCTTATAAATATAAATAATATAAAAATGAATCCCTTTTTCCCTTGGTCACGGCATCATGAGTATTCACTCATGCCATTCGGCTGGACCAAATTAAGTACTAATTTTTTTGTTGTGTTTGTTATTATTAGGAGTTTCTTAGATAGAAAAAATCCTGAAAATCGTATGAGAACTGGAGAAAACGGGATTGCGCGTACGTAGTCGCGGGCAAAAGCTAGTAAATAAATAAAAACTAAAATATTTACACCTTAAAAAATTAATTAGGTTCTAAATTGCTCATTGTATGAAAACTATTTTTACATGAGTGCAGTTACTGCTAATGCAACCATCAAGCATGATGTTACAAGTTTGATTGCTAAGATAATAAATTACTGTGCTGATTGTACCTCAGACCGTCTTCTTTTTTCCCTAACCAAGATTTGCAAATATACCTAAATACCTACCTAATACTTTAAGTATAAGTTTAACACCTACACTGTCCCCAAAAAGGTCCTGACAGTTTTAAACACTACAATATATTTCTTAGACATTTGCATATTTTTTTTATTATTGTTTTGATAACTCTATCTTATCTTTTTTACTTGAGTAGGTACAAGCTTTAATCTTTTACTATGTTATTATCTTTTTGAAGGTTAATCCCATAATCTAAGAAGAGGTTGTATAAGAGTAGAACAGTAGTATTCTAGGTATTTATTGTTTTCTAATTGGAATTTGAATACCAATCATATTTGAATGGGTTCAAAGTACATATTTGAACTGACTGAAAAAAGGAGATTCTCAAGGCTTCCCTAGTTTTGGAAGTTTCTGTTACTCATTTAGATATATCAATAAATAACATAACAATAATAAAATTTAAGTAGCTAACTATTTAGAAGAAGTTTACAGACAATATTACTTAATTACTATAAAACTTTAGTTACATAAAAACAGTGTTATGCATACTATAATCAAAATATAAAACAAAAAATAAAATAAAGTTTAACAATTTGCAAACATAAATCATGATAACTGAAGCAAAACTGTAACATTGACACTATCCTTATCTATTAGTTTGTTTAAACTAATCTCAAGAACCATTGAACCAGATTTGATAAAAACTATTTCCTGCTTGTTTTAATGGCAATGGCAACAAATAGTTGACATACTCTTGCATAGCATGATTAATGCATATTTATTTGAATATACACTATTTAATTCATTGTTAGATTTAGCCCTTATTATTAACTATTTGGGACTTAAAAAATAACTGGTGAAAATATGATGTTTTATTGCATATGCATGTGCTCCTCTGCCTACCCCTTTGGAATTAAAAAGTGTGAGCTTGTATCAAAGGCTGCACAGTTCTGTCTCAGCCAGTATTTTTATTGTAATGCTTACTTTTCAATTAATAAACATGTCATAATTAATAAGATAAGCTATCTAGGAATGTTTACTACACATTATAATAAAAATAATAATAACAACTACGATAAACACGGAATACCCCTCAAATAGTACGAAAATGAAAGAAAGTACTCTCGTTATTACTTGTAACACTTTCCAACACTATTAAATAAAACAATGCCTATATTATTTACAGATTCTAACAACTAGACCTATTCTTTGAGTGCCTACCGCTTGGAGAAAGGCGATAAGAAAACACGACGTATCTGCAAAGTACGCATTGTCACAAAAATAATATATCAATCTATACTTACTGTGGTTCAAAAAATCCTCAATTTCTGTTGCACTTGTTCACATTTCATAAAGCGTCGGCGTCAAAACGACAAGCTAGATCGACAACGACCGATATTTACGTCCATCTTTCACCATTGTCGATAGATTAAACTGATTTTTATTGTAATACTAACGTATTTTTTATTACAGTCACTTTAGCACGCGAATTTCATTATTTGCCTGTATGTTTTAATTACGTGTAGCTTATAACTAAGTAGTAAACAATCGTATTTTAATTAAAACGGTAATTAGGAAGCAGTACCGTTTTTCACTCGCGAGCGCTCACAAAAATACTTTTGACAACTGAAGCAAGTTGCTTGACAAAACAAACGGCACGGAACGGATGGTGAAACGTCATTTATTCAGTGATACCAGCGGGCAATTTTATATTTCCCAAAATTACGACTACTCGGTGAGACATTAAACAATACAGACAATAATTGAAAAAATATGTAATAATTTCACTACTTTCATTTACGTTGATATTATAACATGTTTAAAATACTTAAAAAGAGAAATGCAAATTAAAATAATTATTTATCTGATTAAAATTATGTTGAAACATTTTCAAACTGCGTGTAATTCTTTTATAATTACTATGTTTAAGAATGTGTTATAAATTATGATGCACTATTTGGATATTATTCATTTTGTCGAGATAGAATATCTTTCATGTTTTTTTAATTACCCTAAATCGGGGACTATTGATTTATATGTCAACATTGAAAATGTCAAATATTTTTACGGTGTTGCCCCGATCAATTATTTTTTTCTACCGTTAACGATACAAATGCCAATCGATGCGTAAATCTAATAATGATAAGTTTGAATTTTAGTGTAAAACTAGTCTAAATATTTTGTGTATTGTTAAAAAAGCATATTAGATAATCTATAGCATTCACTTTGCGTAATAACAGATTTTCATAAACATTACGCTTAGGTAGTTTTAAAACTACTTTTAATGTCTAATTTAACATAAAAACATTATTGCTGAGATCAAATTCAAAATTAGTAAATTCAAAGTTATAAAATATATGTAAAATAATATACAATTTATTTAAATTTTGGTTTGATTTTGAGCTAATGTCACTTACAAATGAACCAATATGACACTGATTTATTTATGTGTGCGGTTGTAATGGTTTACCACGTTACTAAACTTAAGAAAATGACAGACGTCTTTCGTGTCAATATATTTATGTTTTGCGTGTAACTCTATAGTTGTAACTCTATAGTATTTCTGCTTTTTTAATTGCCCCGCACAAGTAGATTGGCTATTAGTTAGACTAAGAACTTTCTAAATTAGTAGATTTATTATAAATTGGTAACACTTTCATGTTGCTACTAGCGCCACTGAAAAACATAAAGCAATGGTAATAAAAAGAATTAACAATAGTTCAAGGGGTTTACATGGTACACAAAATATAGAATAGATGGCGCTGTACTAAACTTAAAAATTTCCTGTGCAATAAAAAGATGGCAGTATAAAACATTTTAAATTGTGGCAAACTCAGAACCCTGGGTGGGTATGAATTTTTAAAATTAAATTACTCATATTTTAAGTACAAGGCTGTACTTTCTATGTATTAAAAGTTGCTAATTAGGTAATTAATACAACTGTTACATACAATTATTTTTGGTGGTTTTCTTTAGTGAAACAGTTTTCATATACTTACTTACCTAGCCTAGACACCATCAAAACGAACTTTTTGCATTAAATTCCGTACAGAAGGAAACTAAATGCGATCCCTATTATTATAAGGCAGCAAAGAGATTGTTACCAGTCCAGCTTCAGCACGTTACGTGACTCATTGATTTGAATATAGCCAGCGGCATCGTCTAATGACAGTTGTCTGTTTATTCTGTACACAACATAACTCTATGGAGACGACACGGGAAGCGTTTTAATTTATGTAATTTCTTGTCTAAGGCACCATTGTATCTGTTATAGAAAAACATGCATGGTTAAAGTGGAATCTGTTTGTTGCTAACTTACTTTTGTACCTGTATAAGTACTACCTCTGGGGATCGATCGACATTGATATTGTAAAATTTCGTACTCTTGAGTAGCAACACTAGCGCCCATTGCATCCGTATTGCGTGGATATTGAATGAACTAAATGGTATTGAGTTCGGCTTTTTAATCCGTACTCTGAATGCTATTTTTACCGACTTCAAAAAAAGGAGGAGGTACTATGTTCGGCTGATTGTTTTTTTTTTTTTTTTTTGTTTGTTCGCGCAGTACTCCGCCGTTTGTGGACCGATTTCAAAAATTTTTGTTTTGTTTGAAAGGGTATACTCCCGAGATGGTCCCATTTCCATGAAGTCAGGATCTGATGATGGGATCCTAGGGAAACCGAGGGGAACTTTCGAAAATTCTATGGGGGAGTAATGCGTCTATTGTGTTTTTCAATTACGAATTTTAAACACTACAATTTAATAAGGGTCTGGAGTCGACCTGATGATAGAGTCGACAGACAGTCGAGGGAACTCCTCAGCGGTTTATATTAACTACCTTGTGTTTGGGCTTGATTAATTTGTATTGATGAGGACTTTACACCTAGATAGAGTGGGGCTGTCATTAAGGGTCTGATGATGAAGAAGTGTAATTGTTAAGGGAACTCCTCAACGGTATACAGTAACTACCTTGAGTTTGGGCTTGATTAATTTGTATGGATGAGGACTTTACACCTAGATAGAGTGGGGCTGTCATTAAGGGTCTGATGATGAAGAAGTGTAATTGTTAAGGGAACTCCTCAACGGTATACAGTAACTACCTTGAGTTTGGGCTTGATTAATTTGTATTGATGAGGACTTTGCACCTATGTATATTATAAGTAACAAAACGGGTATATGTAGCTTTACACTGAAAATGGTAAAATAATAAAGTAAAAACTGCGTTTAAAAAACCGACTTCAAAAACCAAAAACTAATAACAAACAAAAAGTCAATACTAAAAAAAAAAATAACTATTATTAGTACTGATAGGTTACCCACCCACTGATAGGTTAGAAGTCGGTGCCATAAGCTCATATCATAATGATATAACTTAATGTCCACAAAATTGTGAATTAGGTACCTATTAAGGTTTTAATGAATAATTTTGTATGGAACTTATGGCACCGACTTCTTACCTATCAGTGGGTGGGTAACCTATCAGTACTAATAATAGTTATTTTTTGCTTTTTAGTATTGACTTTTTGTTTGTTATTAGTTTTTGGTTTTTGAAGTCGGTTTTTTAAACGCAGTTTTTACTTTATTATTTTTAATAGCTACGATAGGGGTTGTATAGTTTTGACATTGAATAATTATTGAGACTTTATTGGATTGAAATTGCATTGACATTGAGATTGCTTTCAAGAGTAAGCACCCTGACCTGTGTTTTGATAAAGCGTTACCTACTATATTTAAAGTATATTTATACTTATACGACTGCATGGTTGGCGCGGTGGTTGGGCAACTGACTGCCGCGCAACGTGTCGCGGGTTCGATTCCCGCACGGAACAACTCTTTGTGTGATCCACAGATTGTTGTTCTTTGTCTGGGTGTCATGTGTATGTGAACTTGTATGTTTGTAAACGCACCCACGACACAGGAGAAAATCCTAGTGTGGGGCAATGTTTCTTAAAAAAAAACGTAAAACCTGATTAGGATGCAGTTAAGTTAATAATATGGTTTCTTTTTATGGTATAAGGCTGGCAAAAGATCGTACACACCACCTGATGGTAAAAAATTTAATGTCGCGGCCCATCAGGATAGTCATTGGACTAAGAAGTGCGTTGCCGGCGTTTTGGGGGTTAGGCATTTCAGGATTTCACTGAACTTAGATATAGGCACCTGTTCTATCAAGCATATAACTATAACTTACCACTTCATGGAATAAAACCGCAGACATTACGACTTTAAAATTAATTTCTTCAATAGAAACCAGGATCCTACTTGAACTTCAAGTACTTACCTTCAAGGAAAATTAAAATGACTTCAAAACACGCGGAGAGAAGGCTCATGATGGAAGGTATGAACCTCCTTTATGTCGGTGTAAGCCGTTAGATTGTCATCACTAAACGGGCACAATTTCATTACGCTAATTGAGTGCGCCCGTTCAAGGGAACGCGGGAAAAATTAATTTCGTACGGCAACACTGAAGTGTGTGCGTTTAAGACAATGTCAACGCCTTCCTGAAGGTGGGGTGTTCAATGTAACTTGCTTGTTTAACTTGCTTTTTTAAATTTAAGGAGCATTCGTCATGTTAAGCCATTTGTATGTAGCTACATACTTTTACCATGATTTATAGTTCATCGCTTTTTACCGACTTCAAAAAAAAAAAGGAGGTGGTAACCTATCAGTAGGTACTACCTAATGATAGTAATTTTTTTCTTTTTAGTTTTGACTTTTTGTTTGTCATTAGTTTTTGGTTTTTTAAGTCGGTTTTTTAATTGTTATACTTTCTCTATAAGAATCGTCATTCAATGTTCCTAACAACAAATCTTTTTTCATATGTAATTTAGTCATCTTCACATTGTGCTATTAATTTTTTCTTTAATCGAAATCTATTTTCCACTCGTTTTGTCACATGATTTCCATCGCTTCTCGTCACCTGCTTTCACATGGTCCATAATTTGCATTAATCTTAAATGGGTTTTCATTGCAACGTACTTATTTGGGCATTATAAACGTAGAATAATTACCTATTTAATTCCTATTTATTTAGGAAATCGACTAAATGTTTCTTAATGTATTCCATCATTCAGTTGTTAAGTAAATGGATCGAGAGGGGATAGGGAAATTGATTACGTGTCGCGCATAGATAACTAATCGAGAGTTGACGACTGCCTAATTGATTCAGCCGTTTTTACTACAATTCTTTTTATATTAGATCACCTTCAGAGTTTATTTCATTTGTTTGAAAAGAAGACGAATGTATTTATTGGAGAATAATTGCTTTTAATTTAGACTAGTGTCGATCCTAACATGAGAGTGACAAAAGAAAAGGAGAATGAAAAATGTTATTGTAAGCAACAGAAAGCATTCTCTTTCACATAGTCACATAAAATATTATTTATTTAAAACTTAGTACAATAACAAATGTACAGGTGGACTTAATGCCTTGGGCATTGTTTCACAGTCGACCTTAAGGTGGTGCAGAGATGAAAGTGGCAGGTGACTAAGCAAATATTAGTTTTTCTATTTCAACGTTTATAATTATGTTTATGCCTAATGTTCCCGTAATTATAAATTACGTTTTTGATAAGTCAAGTAAGTCTTGCGTGAAGGAAATTATAACTATCTCGATTAAGGACGACCCTAATCGTGAAATTGTTATAGTTTACTTAAAATAATTGCCCAATGGAGGGTCGATTCTATTTT